CATTTCCCAAGATAAGTTCATTTTTTAAATTGGATTCTTTAATGTTAGATTGGATTTTCAAATTTTTTAGTACGCTAGGTCCGGTTTTGGGGGATTCATCCCTCTCTTTATTCCCTTATTTGTTTCATTTTCTCTCATTTTGGGGATTCACTTTCTGTTCAGTATGTTTGTTATTTGTTTTAAGGTCAGTTGGTTTTTTTTTTTCGTTTTTTTTTGTGGGTTTTCAGTTCTTTAATTTGTTTAGTTGTTAATTTTCCAGTAATTGTTTCCCCTAATCTGGATTGTTAAGTTTTCAACGGTTTTTTTTTCCCAAAATCCACATGAACTGAGCTTCAATGCTAAGGAGACCTGGGTTTTATTTTGTGCTGGAGTTTATAATGTATTTAGATTGGGAACACAATCTTTGTTTAATTCTAAGTTTTTATCCACTTTTGCTTTTTTCCCCTTCAATGGTTTCAATTAATTGTTGTTTTAATATAACTATTGCTCTCTAAGCTGCGAAATTAGGTGTAAGAAAATCTTTTGTATACTTATATGGAACTGCTGATTTCCATAGCAGCTAAGGATATGTATAATTGTATTATGGCCTTTTGAGTCTGTTGGCTTTTCTATTTTGATCAAAATTGTTGATTTCTTTTGTGGAATTGGGTTTTAGCCTCAAATCGGAGACATGGGTGCTTGAGAACGTTTAATTTTACATGCATTGTAAAGTGTTTGTAATTGTAAACTGTTGGAACTTTTGTGAATATGTGGGACTGGGAGTCCCACATCGCCCATTTCCCATCTCAAAGTCATCTTTATTAGTGTGTCCTCACACTTATGGTTTGAAAAGAATTGGGCCAAGGCCATGGAACTTGGGGCCTTAGACTTGGAGGGTTTGGGTGTATATATTAAATGTCAAAGATGGCTCTTGTGAAGGATGATTTTGTGAAAACATGTTCATTTAAGCAACATCTATAAGCATGCAATTAACAATTAAAGGCGGAATCATGCTTGCATGCACTTAAAAACAAAACATTAACCATGAAATTCAAAGCCTAGTAGATTGGTGAACCAAGACTCAACTCAAATCAAAGTGAGTTGAGAAATTTATACCTTTGTAGATTCCTCTTTGCATAAGCAAAGGCTAATCACCCAAAGAGAGGGCCTTCATTCCTTGCTTCTTAGATCCATGGTTTTGGATGGAAGAATATGGTTCTCCAAGTTCCCAAAATTGAGAACCTCTAAGTGTCTACACCAAGGTTAGATTGGAGAAGAAATGAGTGACCTTGGAGGAGTGGGATTGCTAGCTACACCCTCCAAGGAGGCCGGCCTCTTTAGAGAGAAAGGAGAGCTTTGTGTTCTCTCCAATTTCCTAAAAGAAACCCTTAATGAATTTTAGGCTATAAAGTTCTTTATATAGTCACTTCTTTAAATGACCTAAAGAACCAAAAACCTTAATTCAACACACATGGCCGGCCACATAAGGGATTTGGGCTTTTGGGCCTTTGTGAATCTTTATTCATTAAATTGTCATACAACTTAAGTCAATGGGCTTGACGTTCGAAGCCCATTGGGCCTTAAGGTCCAAAACTATCCCGAGGTCTTTAACGAACTTATTCGTTTGATTAATTAACATATTAATTAATCCTTGCCATAAATAATTAAACCATTTAATTATTCTTACTCATCTCCATTGTTTCTTCAATCTCCACCTTACACGGTGTACGATCCATTAGGTTCCTTTTAGCGAGGCAGTGGGCGATTAAAACTCTTTCAAATCGATTGTGAATTGAAACTTAGTTTCAATTCTCCCTTTAGTGTTAATACACGTTTAGGGCTTCCACAAACCAAGAGTGACACCTAGCAGCATATCATGGTTACCCAAGCTAATCAGAAGAGGTAGAGAACCTATTCAGTTTAGGATTACAAATGCAATACGGTCTTTCTCTAATACAATACTCTTGACCACATTGTTTGGTTTGATAGTTTATTCATGTCTACTATCCAATGTAATTCGTGTGCTTATATGATTACCTTAAATGTGATTTGGAACGACTTTCCTAAATCTCATTCATACTCTGGCCAGAGATTCTTAATCATATCATAGAGTATTCTCCCTCAAACGGTTTGAAGGTTAGAGATCCCTTGTTGCGCATTCACTTGCCTCCATAGCTAAGTGGCTTAACCCCAACTATGTCGTGGACACCCTCCTGATGGAGTGACTTTGACATAATCAAAGATCAAGGACTTAACCACAAGACAACTATGATGCCTCAGGTCAAAGGACTACTTTGCATTATCCCAACCATGAGTTCTCATGTGACATGAATATGAGAACTCTTCGTTGATCGTGTTCAGTGAACTCATCTCTATTGAGCACCTACGTACTTGTCTTGATGTCACACACACCAATGACTCGAGACTAGTCACTCTCCCTGAGAGAAGACACAGCACGTACTGATCTTAACGGACTGTCAATGCCCAATTGGCAATCCTATGATCAGGAACGTTTAGGATGTGTCTACGAAAGAATGGTCTCATGAATCTAACTTCTTTAGATCCCATTCTCCCAATCACATATTCCTTGGACTTATCGTTTAAGCATATAACATTTATATGAGACGGCTCAAACAATAATCTTTGCCCTTGATATTAAACTAGATTAGTTTAACATGTGAAATGTCCGTAAAGTATCATATGATTGGTTTTAGGGCACATTTCCAACATGTTGGGCCTCTTGGGCTCGGATGGACGAAAACACAAGTTACATTTTTTATTTTTTGGATTCAATTTTTTCTGAAAGGATAAAACTGATTGAACAGTTATGTCAGTTTTATAACTGATAAGAATGAATAGTTATGTCTGTTCAATTTATGCCATCAATTTATGCCATTATATATATGGCCTGATTGAACAGTTATGTTAGTTTTATAACTGATAAGAATGAACAGTTATGTCTTTCAATTTATGCCATTATATACATGGCAATAAGATCATAAACTTAACGTAGAATTTCCAACGCTTCCTTTTCATCTTACACAGAGAAACGCACAACCAATTCACCAAGAATCCAAGTTCGAGTGCAAGAACTTGGATTAGATAGTTGTATCCTACAAGATAGACGTCCATTGAACTACTGCACGGGTGCTGGGGCGAATTTCTGTTTTAGGTAATTGCATTTGCAAGCCTCTATCTTCAAGAACAAGTTAGTGATTTGTGATTTTATATGCAATTTACTTAAATGTTTGTATTTTGATATTTAGTGTATCTGTTGTTGAATTTCTTATTCGAAATAAACTGTGCAAATTATATATATATATATATATATATTGTATCAGTGACATTTGATTGGTTTCTAACATAAACATGTTTGAATCTTGTACTTTCTATTTTTTTTTCCTTTTTTTTGTTTGAATTTTTTAGGTAGCAAAATGATGTAAACTCGCAATTTATGGTGGCTTTGAAAGGGTGACTTGCTCTTATAAAGTTCTGGAACACAAACTGCTTTGGAGCCAACAAATAGCCAGAGCAGCGGCCTTTCTCTCCCTTATTATCGGAAAAGAGGTGCTTTCAGGGTGAGCCGCAATGCTCTTAATTTGGAGTAATGGGTTTGTGTTACTGTGCAGATCTGCCCAACTTCCCATTTAGTTTCTTGGAATTATTATTTATTTTTCCAATTATATATTTTAGTGCTTTTATGTTTGTCGTTCCACGCTGGGAATTTGGAAAGCTCTAGAAACAATATAATTCTTGGGTTAATGTGAAGATTTTGTGTTGACTACTTTGATTCCGTTTTTCTATTTGCACTTAGAAAAACAGAGGATTGTGGTTAAATATTGTGCTGTGAAGCTTCTATTTTTTCTTTTTATGCCCAAGATTGACCTCTGCTGTAGAAAAGTACTTCCAATTCTCTCTTTCTCTAAAAAATATGAGCCAATGTGAAGTTTGGTTGTTTCTCTCTCCAGAAACTTATATTCCATATTGCACCCATCAATTGTAATCATCCTTGATGTTGATGGTTTTGTTCATTTATTTTGTTTCAGAAGTAAATGCCTAAAATTTTGATCTTTGTGTTTCAAAAATAAATGCTGATGTTTTGATCTTTGTGTTTCTCTCTCTAGATTAAGCTTAATCATTCTTATTCTTACTAATGTAGAAGTGGGTTGAGTTCTAATCTTTGCTTTCTTTTTTACTGAAATTATTTTCTGATATCTGCTATTAATTGCGGTTGAAATGTGACTTTTGTTATTACTTTTTTATCCTTCAGATTTATACCGCTTTTGGATTCCATTCGAATTAAATAATGAAGTTAATCTTGATATGAATTCTCTCTGCAACAATTGAAGATATTGTGGTAAATGATCAATATTGAATTGAACTTGGACTGAGAGATCTAAGGATATGGGAAAACTAACTAACCATACCAAACAACATAAGAAGAGAAACAAATTTCAAACAAGAGAGTGTACCTGAACAAGCCGTATGTTTCAGATTGATGTCTGTTGAGTAGTAGAATGATGATTTAAGAACTCCCAGGCGAAACATGTATAAGTGATCGAGCAAATTTATCAAACTCCATGAGGGACAAAAATAGTGTCATTTTAATTCTTAAAAGAAGGTTGGCATTGGATTGGTAAGCATGTTTACTAATTAAGATACAGATTGAAAACCAACCAGCAAAGATTATGATAATTCACTAATTTAAACATAAACCAACTTTAAGAGTATCATTAACCTGTTCATTTTATTTTTCTGGATAAGAAACAAACTGTCATTGAATGAGATCTTTCCTGCTGTAGTTTTTACTTGCTATATATACTGGGTCATAGTGGATAGCTGGGATAACCTCACAATAAGTATGTATTCTTCTTCTATATAATCAATTCTACAGCTGTTGTTTTTTCCTGATCCATATTTGCATTCTACATGTTATCTTTGTGACTGACTTATCAAATCACTGAGCAGCAAGCGGACGTGCTGTTTTTTTATTTTAGTCAAAGGGAACAAACTAATGGTCTAAGAGATTGCCTAAATGGATCCTAGACTAGTAAAAAATGCATAGAAGTTTGAAATAAATTGAGATCCAATATTATGAGTTGATTATCAGTACCATACATAAAACAAAGGAGTTCTTGATTCAAAGGTGAACCATTTCATGAAATTATGATATTCTAAACAGTGAATTTGTGTTTTCAAGTAAACAAGAAGCTAAAGCGTAATCAAAGGATTTGTCGACCTATTGTGGAAGGTGAGATGCCAATTTTGTTTCCCAATAATTATCTTTTATGGAAATTGTAATATTTTATATTTCGAAACTCTAAACTGATTGTCCTTCACAAGTTTTATGTAAATAGTTACACATCTATGCACAAATACTCATAATCAGTTCATCCAAATCTTGGTGATTTCAATTCTTAAGAGATGTCTATGTTGATTTATGATTTTGTTGGATTTATTCTGGTAAAATGTGTTTATTTGCATTGGTGCATTTAAGGGTGTGATTTCATTCCTACCGCCTTTTTAGTTCATCTTTCTGTGCAAATTATTTATGTCAGTTGTCGATTATAGTTTGAAAGCGTAGGCCTCCCCGAAATTACTTAATTTAACAAAATTCAAATAAAAAATAAAAAAAAATTGCAGGGTCAAAAAATTAAATCATTACAAAGCGTAGGCGTGGGACTTACAAATGACTCCTTTCAAGTGGTCTGGGCATTACAGAGAAGGGCAGCTAAGCTTGCAAGGGTTATCACTGGTGTCCTCGAAGCATGCCATTGTTTGGGTGTCATGCATCGGGACTTAAAGCCAGAGAATTTTCTATTTGTCAACCAGAAAGAGGATGCACGGGCTCTCTGTGTTCTTTAGGCCAAGTATAATATCACATTTATGGATTAGATTTGTATCTGGAACCCATATGGAGCTAATTAGGTGCAAAGATTATTGACCCTAAATTGTCATAAACCTATGAAATAAGATATATGCTTTCGATTCATTCTTGAGTTGGTATTTAATTGGTTTTTGGTAGAATTCTCTTACTATTTCTTCCCATGCCGTTAGTTTACTTTGATGAGTATAGGGTTTTTTATTTTATACTTCTAGATTGAAATGGTACGATTCTGCTTGATGATCGTGGAAGCCAGCGATTCTGCTTCTACGAAAACTGCACCGACGTCGTTCCAGGTCACTCCTCCAAACCTTCCGCAAACTCCGAAGCAGGTTTATGACTTCTATTTTTTTTAATATTTCATTTCCTCCTTTTTTTAATTTTTGAATTACAAGAAAAGTTTGAATTTGAGGTTCGGATTCGAAGATTACTGCTGCTTATAGTTTTAATTTGGTGTTTCATAGTTTAGTTTACGATTGTAATCAGTTTTCTTAGATTGATGGAATATTTTTATAAAATATTGCTTTTAGAAGGTTATTATGTTATATATAAGTTTACTTTATACAGTAATGAAATTTTATATGAATAATATTTCAATCAGAGAGATACACGAAGATAAAGATAGGTTGAGCAATAAAAGCTTAGCCACAAGCGATCAAGTAGTGTATTTTGTGTTTCCCTTCCTCCATTGAGAAGTTTGTGAAATCGCAAGGGTTGGAACGCCACTATTGGTTTGGGTATGCTCTCTGTCTCAGTGTTGTGGGGTGAAAAGTTATCTGAAAATAATGGAAAGAACATTTTCTGCATCGTGATTCTTTAATTGTATGATAATGTTTCCAATGTTTTAGATTACATTGATTTGTATTATTTTAAAGTATATATGAAGATTAGTTTATAGGTGTATGCACTTAAATTGGATATATGGTATTTTTCAGATTATTTGACATACAATTGCATATAATCTCAATTTTCTCATGCAATTTTTGTTTGAGCTTCGGAATCGTTGAACAGGATAATTCATACTTGGATAGCTACATCAGCACAATTGAAGTTGAATTTGTAAGCATTTTGTCAGTTTTACACTACTGATTCCTTTGATTCAACTCTCATCTTACCCACATCTTTCACTCATCTATCCTTTTTGTTCATTCATGATTATGTTAAATTTTTTTGCAGATTAAATATCTTATTCATGTGGTTAAGGCTGATGCATTCAAGTCCTGCATTAACGCGCGGACATTTTTGCTAGTTATAACTAAGAGTAAAATATATAGCATAATATAACACATCAGGGTGGGGTAGGTGAATAAATTAGTTGTGAACTCGCCATTTTCGAAAGTCAAACTTAAGACCTCTCACATACAAGTGAAGAGGAATACCAGTAGACTGTAATATCAAATGGTCCTAAATTAGTTCCCTTAAATTCCATGAAGAATCAATGGAGTGGTGAGAAGCAATTAGGTGATCACCATGGCGAGAGAAGAGGGAGGAGGCAGCAATGGGAGAAACAAAAAACCCTAAAATCAGGGTTGGATTCATTTCCAAGACCGAGGTTTTCTATAATAGATGTGATTATCCCCCTCAATTGTCTCAAGATTTTTTTTAATTGATGTTGTTTGTACCATACTTAGGGCCTCCGTATTTAGATCTCGTATAAATACTCAGGGGACTCAAATGTAATTATGTAATAAATGAAGGGGCAAATATATAACAAGTGATGAGCCCTTATTCTATAAAATGACTTCTTACTCTCCTCATTAGGGAGGCCAAGATTGAGGGCAAGGCTTAGGCCACAGAAAATGGGTTAGAGAGAAAATAGGCTACTGAGCACACTACGTCTAGCCTTCTTGTATATTCACCATTCAGAGTGAGCCAATATCAACATCAGTGTGAACGTAGCCAACACATTGGAGTGAACCACGATACATCTTGTGGTCTTTACTTTCTTGCAGATTCACGGTCAGATTTACGTTGTTCCAAGACCCCTCCGATTTTGTGCATCAACAGATGTGGCGATTGAGATTAGCTGCTACATCAAATGGTATGAAGTTTTTATATATTTAGGCGATACGAATAGCATTATTCAAATAAAATTTGATAGGATGACCAATCATGCACATGCATGTTTCCATATCCCGCTGATTTTTTTTTAAGGAAAACTAAATAAAAGAGTTTGAAAACTTTGAGTTTTAACAATAGTGACAAAATAAAAGGTAAAGTGAATAGTACTAGGATTGACTTTTTAATGTAAAAATATGGTTTTTCGTTAAAGTAAACAATATCGGGAGCTTTTCGTTAAAGTTTTTTTTTTTTTTTTTTATAAGTATTTGCCTTTTTTTTTCTAGACTTGCAAGGGCACTGCCAATTTCATCTTCCGTTTCTATTTTATCTAATTACCCACTGATAATAATATGAATTGTCCATCTTTCTTCCATCTTAGCCAAGTGTTGTCCATGTGGGAAACCTATGAGGGTAAACAGGTCATTTTGTCCTTCACTAAGAGTTAGACTGAAGCGAGAAAAAGTAGAATTGGTTGAGGATAAGTGTTAGTGAGAGACAAAATGATTTTTTTTTTCTTTATAAGTTTTTCACATGGACAACACATGATAAGGCCAAAATGTTGAATAGAAAATTCAAAAATCTAACGGTGAGGGAGATTTGCCTAATTATAAAGTTTATTGTGATAATTGAAGGGAAGAAAGGTTGCCGGTATAGGTATTAGTGAGACAAAATGACTCGTTTACCTTTACAACTTTTTCATGTGAAACAACACTTCACAAGGATGGAAGAAAAGTTGGATGGACAATTTAAAAATCTAAGATAAGAGGAGATTTCGCTAATTATAAAAGTTGATAGTGATTAGCTAAAATAAAAGTTCATAAAAGAAAATTAGCACTGCCTTAAGAGTTCAAGAGATATCAATGAATATGTCTTTTTAGTTATACATAAGACATTTAGCAGCCCAAGAAAGAAAGCAATGCCTTTTTTATGTTGTTAAAATTCTATTTTTTCAAAAGTCTAAATACATGAACAACACAAGCTCCAATTACGATGAAAAAAATTGAAGTACCATGAGTACCCCCAATAACTTGTAAACACATGCATTTTTATCCTAAAGTGCCTCTTAATTTCTCAAAGATGTTTCGGCTTTTAGTGGTGCATGTCACAACTCTCAAGTTACAAACAAATTTTTCAGGGCACCCGCTACCCCAATTGAGCTGGTGTTCCCAGCAAATAAAGGTGTGACACATAACAAAAAAATGCTAACTAACTTAGTTTGTCAATACAATTCCTAACTTACCCTAAAAGTCAGAGAATTTCGAACAAATCACCCTCCCTTCGTCAAGAACTAACAACAACCAATCACCCTACCGTCACGAACTCACGGCAAGACAACGACCCCTCCATTGATGGCGATAACTACACCAGCGACACCCCATTAATTCTCTCACTTCCTACTCTTAATTTTTTCCATGCCTACTCTTAATTTTCTCCTCTTCCATTCTTACCTAGTAATGGAGCCCGACGATGATCGGCTTTGACTCCAACCTTTAGATATGCTATTTGCAACCTCCGATCAAAGTCCAAGGGTGGCTGACGACAATTTATAGTGCCCTTCCTCGACGTACAGGAGGATTAGAACGAAGAGTAGGAAGGTAGAAGGAGATAGAAAGAAAAAGAAGAGGGGAAGGAAGAGAAGGGTGGGGGTGGGGTGGGGTGGAGGTTGAAAACTCTGATGGAAATTCGAATCAGTTTTTTAATTAATTTAATTTTTAAATTTATTTTCTAAAATTTAGAATTAAATAGGAAGATTGTTTGCAACGTGTCAAAAAAGATTGCCAAGTGTCTAATATAGGCTACGTGTTAGGTGTTTATATGATGGGAACACCAACTCAGCTAGGTTACCGGGTACCCGAAAAATTTCTCCAAGTTCCCAACCTCTACATAAATCACCAGAATACGAGGAACAAAGGAATATGTAATGTCGCGTCACACTTTCTTTGAATACCCTATGCTTTATCTTCTTCTTCTGTTTTTTTTATCTTTCTTTCTGATCATATGATATCTTCTTCAAGTTAATTAAAAGGAAACCAATTAGGGGCCATTCAAAAGATGATATCTTTAATTAAGATATTAAAAAATGATAGAAGAGAATGCTATTTGGAATAATATTATGCGTTTATTCATCTCTCAAGAAGGACTTTGTAAGGTGTTACAATCCAATTAATAAGGAAAGAAATAATTTACATAAAATCATACTAAACAAGGAATCCCAAGATTATAGGAATATATACAAAAAGTCAACACTCCCTCTCAAGTTGGTGCATATATGTTACACATGCCTAACTTGTGTAAAAATCTTGAAAACTTATGACTTGAAACACCCTTTGTTAGGATTTCTGTCAACTGATTTTCTGTTCTTATTGCCGATACCTCAGTTATTATCCCTTCTAACTTTTTTTTATCGAAGAATCGATCAACTTCTACATGCTTTGTTCTATCATGTTGTATCATGTGCAATGTTATTGTAGACATCGAAATTTCAGTAAATAAATGTTAACCGATAAATCAAAGTTTCAGCGCTCATGTATTACATAAATTTTACACGTAGCGTGTGTCTAAACAAAAAATCAAAATAAGTTGGAAAAGTCATCAAACATGACACGTGTCAACACCTGGCAGAAACGACTTATTTCATCTGGAATATTATATTCAAAATTAGGCCTTGGAAAATTCTATAAATAGAAGGCTAATTCATTCATTTAAGGAGAGGAATTCATATTACACCTTGAAGCTCTGAAGCTCAGAAACTCCGAAGCTCTCAAGCAAATCCCGAAGGATCAAGAAAGCCCTTTTCGTTCTTCATCAAATCCTCCTTCAAGATCAAGCCCCGACGGCCCTTGAAGAAAGCTCTCTTCGTTCTTCGTTTTTCGTTCATCATTCTTCCAAGATCAAGCCCCAACGGCCCTTTGGATCAACAATCATCCACCGTTCTTCCAAGATCAAGCCTCGACGGCCCTTGGATCAACAATCATACACCAATTCAAGATCAAGCCCCGACGGCCCTTGAAGAAAGTGTTCTTCGTTCATCGTCCTTCCAAGATCAAGCCCCGACGGCCCATGGATCAACAAACCACCGTTCTTCAAGATCAAGCCCAAAAGCCCTTGAAGATCCGTTCATCATTGTTCTTCAAGATCAAGCCCAAAAGCCCTTGAAGATCCGCTCATCACCGTTATTCAAGATTAAGCCTCAACGACCCTTGAAGAAAC